AGCAGGGACCCCTGGGTTTGTTGTGCTCTCCAAGTAGTGCTGGGTTTGTCGTTGCCATGGGGATGGAATATCATTTGTTTGTAACAAAGTGTGAGCTTAAAAGGCCCCCTCCCCAGCCTCGGACCCACTTCAGAGCTCTCTATCCTTTTGGACCAGGTCCGCAATCCCTATGACCCAGGCCACTTTAAATCTTGGATTAAATGACTTGCCCGAGGTCCCACACTGAGCTGGTTGAACTAGGACTCGGACCCTGGGTTCTGCCTCTCGCTGAGCAAAGCTGTCGGTTACCATTCCTGCAGCATTGTTGGGTCTTCCAGGCAATGGGCTCTAGAGATACAAGATCTGACCAGGGCCTAATGGAACGGTCACCTTTCCCCCCTATATCCTTGGCCGCTGTTATTGCTGAGCCATGGGCCGATTGTGCCTCAAGTGCCTGAGCCTACAAGGTGCGGAACACCTCCAATTCCCATTAACTTCTACAGGAGCTGGGTCCTCAGCCCCTGGCCCGATCAGCCCCTCTCTTGCCCCTTACTCAGCTGGTTTGGCTGTACGGCTGTGCCGTGTGGTCACAATGCAGAGAAAGCAGGAGAGAGACAGTTTGTGCACAGTTAGCCTGGGGATCTTGGCCAAAGTCTAATATGGGTTGTTACCCACAGCCAGCATAAAAATTTCCCCATGGTTATGGGATAATGTGTATGTCTAAACTCTTATATAGTGTTGCTGTGAGCTGGTAAACAGCTTCTGTGCTGCACCCCAGAGGTGGCTGCCCTTCTGCTGTGGACTGATTTGGGAAGCATCTCAGGCTGAGATGCAAGATGCCCATTACCTTAATCTGAAATGAATCAATGAAACTAAGTAAAGCAGATTCCTGTTAGAAACCCGAACGAAAAAGTCCGTCCGAAGGTTTTCGGTTTATTTAATTCCTTCTGAATCAGACATTCTCAAGGCGTTCTGCAAACGAAGCATTCTTGTTCGCCGATGTTACCTGCTTTAAAACCCCAAAAGGAGAGGGCCTTGAAATTCTAGGGTTCCTTTGGTGCCAGTATGTGACTGTTCCCCTAATGAGCGGACAGCTGAAAGCAATGCTGTCATCTCCCGTGCGACACATTACCATTTGAAAAAGCCAGCGATATTAAAAAAGAATGGCTTTCCACAAACAATGTGTCTTGTGTACATCAAAGCACTTATCTTCACAGCTTCTTCCCATCTCCATGAATGAATAATGTGACCCTGATTTAATTTCCTCCTATTATTTCCCCCATAATTTGCATGTCATCCATTTTCTTCTTCTCAACATATATACATGCGTATGTTCTGGAAGGAGGTTGGGGGTTGGAAACCAAACGAGCAACAAAACCTGGAGCCCTTTCCCCCCCATTTACAAATGAAGTTATCTCCTTGCCTTCCAGTTAAGTGGCTTGACATGGTATATTGACCTTTTTAATCTAAAATTGATTCCTCGCAACACTTCCCTCTCCCTCCACCTGGTTGAGAGCCGGCCAGAAACCCCAGTGCCATTGTGTTGCATTTATCACTTCCATTATTTTATACCAGGTGCCTTTTACATGATGATGATCAGAACCTTTCAGAATCTTACAGTGCCGGAGACGGGGCGAGTTGGGAAGGGCTGGTTGGCAATCGCTGACGAGGTATAAGGGGATGAACTCTTCAATCCTTTTTCACCCCCAAGCAGAGGACCGGTGCGAGGCCTATGTACCATTTATGTCTCATGGTCCTCGGCCTGGGGGTGAATTTCCACCTATGAAATAGTACTTACTCCTATCCTATTGAAATCCATGGGAGGAATAATAATGATACCTAGTGCTTTTCATCAGTAGATCTCAAAGCACTTTACAAAGGAGGTCAGTATCACTGGCCCCATTTTACAGAAGGGGAAACTGAGGCACGGAGGGGTGAAGTGACTTGCCCAAGGCCACCCACTGGCTGTGCCAGGTCTTCTGCATCCTAATCTAGTGCTCTATCCACGAGGCAGCACTGTGCCTATCTGGATGTGAGTTCCAGCTATTCCCCCTGAGTAAGAGTTGGAGAAACAAACCTATACTATTTACTCTCTTTCAGGCATTTAATGAGGAGGCAGGTTGACAGGATGGGGATAAAGTGGCTCTGTGGCTGGGTGATTGCTAAGAAGAGGGATAGTCTGACTGGTATATGTATCCGCGGTCCATTGGGGCCTGACCCCACAAGTGCTTCAGCCTCCGAGTAGTCCTTGCTGATGCAAATAGTTTCACGGAGGCCAGTGAGGTTGCTCACGTGAGTAAGGGTGTGCAGTGTTAACCCTTTGGTGGACCTCAGTGGAGTTCCATGGATTTACAACGGGGGTCAGCGGAAAAACGTCACTGGCTGCAGCTGAGGATCTGGCCCATTGCTGCTCTGGTTTATCGATCCTGGAAGCAGGACAGGTGGTAGAAATGTTGTTAAAAAACAACTGTGAAATGGACAAACTCAATCTTGGTGTAAAGAAGCTATTGCTATTCTTTTTTTAAAGTGTATCTGTTCACAACTAATGATTTCCTCTCCACTTCCCATTCCACAGGAAACAGAGAGGAAAGGCAGCATTTTCGCCCACTAAACCCATCCCCCGGCCCAGCACACTCATGTGCCATCTGCAGTTTAGTGCTCTCAGGTTGATGCCCTCATGATAGTCACGTTTTTTCACATGCAGAAGCTGAGCCTTTTACATGAAAACTGCATTTGGGCATGCAGAGCGGGCTGCTAAACCACTTCCCGTACACAGGCAAAAACCTGTGTGTGTGTGTGTGTGTGTAATGGCTCCCTGCATGGGTTGTCAGCAGGGAACCTCAGCCCTTACCAATCACCACTTGAACTAACAGAGTGACTCCATTAGCCAGTAGCATTAGTAGGCTGTTATCCTCTAACACACTAGCCACTAGAGTGCGACATGACACACACTCTGCCTTCGTGTTACACCTGCCAGCCTGCATGTGAAATGTTAGGCCCCCATCCTGCAAACACTGAGGCACGTGAATCAGTTTAGTCCCAGTGAACTCAGGTGCGTAAAGCTACTCAAGAGCACAAGTCAGGTAGCACTGGGGCCTTGGATTGGTTGGGGAACCTCTGACAATCTGGAGCTAATGGTTTGAGGTGGGCAGAAAACTGAATTAAACCCAAACCAGCTATTTTGGTGTCTTTATCCCATATGAAGTTTAAGTGAGGGTTTTCTAAAAGGATTTAGAAGCACCGTCCTATGGACTCCCAGCAAGACCCGCACCCCTAAACCCTACAGTTGCCTTTGCAAACCTCCCCAGCTCCCCCTAAATCCTTTCCTTTTAAACAGGACAAATGACAGCAGAATTGGGTGTCAGACAAATGAGTGCCCTGTTTTATTCATCCTGACTGCATGGCTCCCATAACTCAGATCTGGTGGGCTTGTTTTTCCCCCCAACCATGGTGCTGCAATTTGTAGGGCTGGGAGGGGAGAATAATAAATCAAGAGCATTTTTTTGCAAACCATTGCTCAGTGACCTTTGTGAGCTCTGTGTCTCCTCTGCAGGAAATTTACAAATGCAGGGCTGATGACTGGGAAAGGGAGTAAAGTTGACAGGATTTTCCAGGGGGATTTCCGTAGATTTCTTTTTAAAGGGCTAACCGGATTTCTCTTACCTACCAATACTGGTCGGTATCAATGGTGATTATTTGCTCATAGCACTAACAATCTATTTGGTCTGCACCTCCTTATCACATAAATCCTGAAACTGACCAGACAGTCCTGCCCCAGGTCTCTCAGTGTATGGCCGCAGAATCCTTCATTCTGGATGATGTTTGAGGCAGTTTTAAAAGTCTCTGGGCAAGCTTCTCCTCATGTTTACACCAATGTAAATCTATTGCCCTCGGGGGAGTTGCTCCTGCTTTACCCCAGTTTGAGATCAGACTGAGGCCTTCTCTTAGTAATGAAGGGTTTTGATCGCACTGTGCCCGTTTCTCAATGAGACAGTCACAGCTACATTTTCAAAAATCAGTTGCTGATTCTGAGTGCCTGATTTGCGACACCCAGAAAGCCTCTCACCCCAAAAAAAGAGTGGCTGCTTTGGGAAACGTTTGGTCTTAAAAAAAATCTCCTTCTTTCCAATTGCGCCAGCTGGACCCAGGATTCATCCTGTGAATGAGGAGCTGCACTTAAAAATACAAAGTGAGAGAAACAAATAAACAAACCCTCCTAACCACCCCGTGCATTTCTTTAGCAGCCCAGCCCCCCAGCTACAGCCAGGGCTGAAGTTCAAGGCCAGCAGAGCTTTTGTTACACAGAATGAAGCTTCAGCTGCAGAGTGCAGAACTCTGGTCTGGTCCCTCCACGCCCTGAGAAAAGCCAGAGCCACGTGGTCCTAGAGGGAAAGCCGCTTGAATGTATTATTTCCCCAGCTCTGATTGTTAATACAGCCCTGAGCCTGGCTTCCTCCTCTGGTCCTCCTGCCTTTTCCAAGAGCTCTTCGGTTTTTTGCCCTTCCCTCTCTTTCCCTCTCCCTAGGGGCACAAATCCTGCTTGTGTCGGAGGGGGTGGGGGGAACAATAGAAGGGGCTGGAGAGCTCCAAGCCAATCTTCCATGCAACATTGTGCAAAGCAAGGGGGGCTGCTTTCCCCGTCCCCCCTCCCCACCTCGCTCCTGTCTCAGCCATCGCAGAGCAGCTCCCGGGAGATGGATGGCAACATCTGATCATCCGCTTGGAAATGTGGCAAGTCCAGACAGAGCTGTAGAAGGAAGGGGGTGGGGGGGGGACGGACAAAAATGCCCCTTTCTGAACCGCTCCTGCTTCTAGGCTATCCTGGCTGCAGGCAAAAGCCAGGAGGGCTGCTGTGAAGGAAGTGCCGGCTCTGGCAGAGGGCTGGAGCCCAAGGCGTGCGGCGGGTTTGCTCCTGATGCTCTCTGAGGGGTGTTTTTATCGGCAAAGGGAGGATCGCTGAAGCTGGAGGAAGACGGCGCTCATCCAGTGTGGGGAAAATACCAGGCTCCAGCCAGGAAACCATGGGGAAATGCAACGGGCGATGCACGCTGGTTGGATTCTGCTGCCTTCAGCTGGTAAGACAAGGGTTGGTGCCTGCTCCTCCGGCTCTATTGTGCTTTGTGGCTAGCTGTGCACTCGCGTTATTAACCACTCTGTCTGGGACGTGACCTTGCTGGCAGGCCAGGCTAGGGACGGTTACATGCGACCCCCAAAATGTGACCCTCTTCCCCCACCCCACATCAAAGGCGCTCCGGAAACCTCTCGGAAGCAGTTTTCTGTATTGTGTGGTCAGTGCCCTGGAGTCAGTTTGGAGCAGGTGGGATCTTGGTTTGGACCTGAAACCTGGCCCCTTTGCCTACGTTTCACCCAGGCTTTGGGTCCCAGGCTTCCATGTTCAGACCCTCTTATTGTTACATGCCAAGAAAATGACAGTAGCAAAACTTAAACGAATACTTTGTGAACTCTCTTTTGCCTGCGGATGGGATCAATCTGACTGCACAGAGTGGCAGGTAGTTTGGGGAGGCACACATGTTCTGGAGAGAGCCAGAGAGCAAATAAACAGATCTCATTTGAATAGGATTGTTGATATTTGCAATAATTATGTGTCGTGCTTTTCACCGGGCGCAGATCAATCTTAATCAGCCTGGTGACAGTGGTACAGTATCAGGGGCCAGCGGATGCAAGCATGTGGGCTATCAGGCGAGTTTCGGATGAAAGGAGACTGAGGGAGGTAATAATTAATTATCCAGGCAGTTTCCTGGACAGATGGGAAACTCAGATGGAGAAAAACACCTTAGAATTTGGATCACCTCCGTGGCAATCCTGGGATTAACAGAGACTTGCCCAGGGCTAGGAAAATGGGGAAATTCCAGAGATTTTGGCCAATCTGCCTGCAACATTGCTGTTGATCACAGAGGGGATTTTACAAGATGTCTAATATCATGCTTGCATTAGGTCTGGTCAATAAAAAGCATTGTTTACAAAAACAACAAGGAGTCTGGTGGCACCTTAAAGACTAACAGATTTATTTGGGCATAAGCTTTCGTGGGTAAAAACCTCACTTCTTCGGATGCAACAAAGGCAATGTAGCAAATATATATCCATGACAGCAATGCTGTGAGGTTCCGTTAGCATTCTTATTGCATTATTAGTTTTTCATCCCAAGGGGTTGTGCAATAGACACTGAAGTAGTTAATGAATTTTAAAATCCAAGTGGAAGCCAATGTCTTCATGGTGGGTTATGGGAAACATGAAAGTGAATCATGTAACAATGATGTCTAATAGCTGGTGACTGTCTGGGAGGCTTACCTGGGTATTGTGTGCAATGCTCTGTGACACACTGTAAGCCAGAAAAGGATTTCTCATTAGAGTGGAACTTACCAGTGATGCTCCACTAAAGTTCTGTCATTTCCATTAGAAACCACCTTTTCTTTCCCGGGCCATGAAACTTCCTCCCTGGCGGCATTGTGTTCTGCAATGTCTTGATCTTTGATGTGCCTGCATTTGGGAATGTTCATTATAAAAATGGTGCGTGAATGTCTGTGTGCGGTTATGACAAGGGTACAAAAAACCCACCTGGATATTTTCTCTTTGCTGGGGTCAGTCCCCTTTTCACCCATCCAGGGCTCCAAAAGAGCATTGCTGGTGTTTGTTTTAGGGTCAAATCTTACAGGTCATTAAAGGGAGAAAAGGTTATTCATTTTAGAGGGGGAAAGGAATCCATCTGAGCTCCTAGGGTTGGAAAAGATGCTGCTATGTCTGCACAGTAAAACTTTATGCTGGCCAAACTTGGGCCAAGGTTTCCAGTAGATGTACTTAGAGTGTGTCCCAATGCTGCTGCAGTGAAACCAAGTATCTCCCAATGGTTTGAGGTGCAAACCCATCCATCCCTTAGGAGCCCTACCATAAAGATTTACCCCACTGACCAAACAGGCTCTCAACCAACCTCTATTGTTTATTGGGTAATTTAAGAGACCCATCGTATATATTTTAACCAGGACCAGGATGGTTTGGAAAGGTGTTGTCACGTACCTTGATGATACATGGTTTTAAAACTGATCCCAGGGGAAGGCCCCGGACAGGGAGTGATCTTTCTGAGATGCAGAGTTCAGGAACAGTGGGGTGAGCTAAGGACAGCGGGTGACAGTTATTGACTGTACGGTCTCTGTTGAGACCTTAATGTGGTTGATTTAAGATCTCCGAGAAGGAGTTGGGAAGGGCTGAATTCCACCAATGGCCATCACCAAGGTCCATTGCTGGAGGCCTCTGGCCCGTAGAGACATCCTCTGGCCCAGCTCCTGTTGTGAGCCCAGCCTTCACCTAAGATAGAAGTGTGTGGATACACTCAGCTCGCCCTTACGCAGTGCTCTGGAGGAAGGTGAAATACCCCTATGTCCTGTGGGGGAAATGTCTTCTCAGCGCCAGTGAGGAGCTATTTGCGGCGGGAAGGTCCCTGTAAGGTATGCGCCCCAGATCCTCAGCACACAGATCAAGAATGAAGCTGTAGTTTCCATAGGAAACAGGCTAATTAATGTCATGGGAGGTGCTGGGAGCTTTGCTGCCCGGTAGCTGGACTGGTGACGTGGTTGGTAAAGCGCAGCTGGGTTTGGTTTTTGCAAAAGGCAGTCCGTTGGGGTTTGGCTCTGGCGGTTCAGGCTGGGGCTCGATCGGACCCGAGAGTGCAGGGGGGAGGGGCGAGCGCGCGCATGGTGCTGGCGGGAGCCCGACCTCGTTGCTAATTATCTGACCGTGTTTGTTCGTTATCAAAGGGTCCTGAGAGAAGGGGGAATTGGAGATGAAAGCAAAAAGCTCCTGTGGCAAAGGGTGATGGGAATGTGGAGGCGACAGACAGCCTGAGCAAGAGGGGGAGAGGGAGGAAACCAAGCAGGACTGTGGAGTTGGAGGGAGGATAACGAGATCTCCTCTCCTCGCTCCCCATTACCGAGACGCTCCTCAGTGTGCCCAGTTCACAAGGGAGCATGGGAAACTAAACCGCCTCATTGTGTTACGATCATACTGCTGCTCTGATTGGCCCAGAGTAAAAGATGGACTGTTTGTACAGCGCCTAGCACCATGGGGTCCTAGTCCAGGACTCGGGCTCCTAGGTGCTACTGTACTACATCTAATAAATACTAATCATGGATTGGACAGCTGTCCCCCTCACCGCCGAAGGGGGCGGAGCAAAACCAACGGCAAGTGTCAGATTGCAGGGGTGACAGAAATGATCTATGTGCTGAGGATTTGGGTGTGAGCCCCTCGGGAAGGGAGCGTCCATGCACAGGGTGCCCCAGCACCAAATATGAGCTCACAAAGACAGAGCGAGCTGGCAAAGGGGAAGAGGCAGCAGCCGGAGAGGAGGGAGGATGGCTGGCTGGCTGGCTGGCCTTGTGGATAAGGCTCTGAACAGAGAGCTGAGTTCAATTCTTGACTCTGCCACAGACTTCCTGAGTCAGCAAGGTCAAATCGCTTACCCATTCTGGCCTTGTCCTGGCTAAGATTTAAAGGTGTGGCTGCCTCGGGTGCATTACCTCTGCCCATTTAGCTTGGGTTAAGGGCAGTGTGTTTGGTGTAGACTTTGAAAGCATGTGTTAGCTAGCACATGCTAACATCAGACTGCAAATCCTATGCTACACCCTGGCTCTGGGCCTCCGTTCTCCATGTATAAAATGGGGCTAACAATTCCACCCTACCTCTCAACCTGCCCGGGGTGGTGACAAAGGCAGGAAGCTCACATCCTGCCTTCCTGCCTCGTAGATAGCTCTGTCTATAACTCCAGCTCCTTGACTCTTTATTTTTGATGTCACTAATTTCCAGGGGGTGCTAGATTTGTGCAGAGCTGGGCAGGGAACAAGTGACTTCCCGCGAAACATTTGAGAGGTCAGCTCCCGGGGGCTGTGGCGGGACTCAGCTCACTAATGTTTAGGAGATGCTCAGAGGTGGAGGTTCTGTGAGCACCTGGATAGACACAGTGGTGATCGATGCTTGCAGGTGAAAGGAGGGGAACTGGGATTGAAAATACACGCAAGAGTGACCGGAGGACGATGAGTGGCTTGTTCATTTCATTTTTTAAGTAATGAAATATGTGGCTCATCTGAATTCCCTCTTAGCTGCCCCAGCCTGGGTTTTATTGCGTATGATATTAATCCTCCCCTAAAGTGTTTTAACCCCTGCCTTGTTTCATTGGGTCGGGTTTGGTGCTGGTGGCCAGTGATATACAGGAGGTCAGAGAGATGTTCTGGTGGTGCCCGCTGGTCTTAAACTCTATGATTCATTGTTGCTATGATTTAAATCTTACTCTGTAACTGATTTTGGTATCGCTATGGTAACGTACGTGTTGTTGTTATTGTAATTAGATGAGAGTTTTTACCTGACAGTGTTTTGCTCACTTTCCGCTTACCAAATGACAGGGGAGAATTGGACTTTCCATTTGATTAAACCATCTAACTAATCACCAGAGGTCTAAAGCGCAGCGTTTTGTCAGTGGAGGCATTGGGGGTGGGTGAGGCAGGTGAGACCCAATGCATGCGTCTGTCTGGTTGTATGAGGAGATACTGTGTGCTGGGGGTGAGGCCATGCCCTGGAAGCATTCACCCAGGCAGTGAAAGTGGTTGCCTGGCTTTGTCCCTGGATGCCTGTGATGGCAGAGGTCACCAGGTGGCGCTGTCATACCTAGTCTTACAAGTTTTTTCCCTTCAGCATGGGGGCAGGGGACAGTCTTGTAAGAAATGCTGTATTGTTATTAGTTTTGTGACATGTAGGTTTTTAATGTGGAGCTGTTGCAAGCAGCAACAGGGCTTGTTCTCTGCCTTCCTTCTACTAAGAGCCAGTTCTTGGGGTACAGCTGCTCCCTGGGAACTAGGCATGGACATTTGAGCTGAGAGCCTGACAGAAAGAATTGCCTGTGAGGCAGCACAAGTCCGTCTACCTGGGCTGGGAATCACAACTCCCAACTGCAGTGTAGCCAGCTCTCCGCCAACAGGAAGTCCTGACATCTGCTACACAGCACCTTCCATCCAGGCATCTCAAAGCACTTTACAAAATTCATTAGGCCTATTTTGCAGATGGGGAAACTGAG